TGTGAGAATCATGTCTTCCCTCTGAGCACGTTCTCAGGGGGAGAGTTGTGGGTTGAGGGGCATGGCAATGAGACTCTGACTCTGGATGGCAAGTCAGTGACTGGTGGCCCACTTCAGTGGGTTGGCGATTGCGTCAAGTTTCGGGCTGATAAGCTCACGCACTTTGTTTTACCTTGGAAGGGTTCCAGGATAGTCTTGGTCGCCTTCTGCATTAGGTTCTTTGATGTGCTTGATGCGGATAAGCTTGAAACCCTGACCTCCTTGGGGTTTAGGCTTCCCAGCCCTACAACCTCCAGTTCGCCAACGAATGAGATGCGAGGTTCCCCGGCTCCTTCTCCTTTGCCGCCGCAGGAAAATCTTGCCCGAGGACCTCAGGAGCCTGCGAAGGTCCAGCCTCTTGAGAAGCCTATGTTCATTGAAATTTGCGCGGGCTCGGCCCTGCTCTCAAGTGTTGCTCGCGAAGCTGGCTTCGACATTTTGCCTATCGATGCAGGTCGCAAGGTGCCCCGGGCATATGCGCATGTGTTACGCCTCGACTTGAGAGAAGCGCTCACGCTTCAATTCCTGCATAACGTGCTTCGGAATCGGACTGTTGCCTGGATGCATTTCTCCCTTCCGACTGGGACGATTGGTCGAGTTTTTCGTAGCTCTGCTGCACCTCTGGGCCTACCAAACTTGCAGGAGCCGCTTGCCTCTCAGGTGGTTGCAGCCAATAAGATTCTTGACCAAGTTGCAGCTCTGCTCCAGTCAGTCGCGATATCATTTCCTACAGTCGGTGTCTCCGTAGAGCACCCGTTAGGGTCCGTCGTGTGGGAGCTACCGGCCTTCGCTCGCCTGAGGGGCTCTCTGTCGCATGTCTCCGTAACTGCCTGCTTCTTTGGTGCACCTTACAACCGCAAGACCCTTCTTGTGAGCAATCGAAATATCTTTCAGTCTATGGGCGGCGGCTGCCCTGGATGCGCACACCACTGCAAGCCACCAGGCTCTGGGTTTCGTGTGGATGGCAGTTACCCCAAAGCCTTCTGTGAAGCCTTTGTGGGCCATGTTTCGGCTGACTGTCCTGGCCGAGGTCTGTTCTTGGCGCCCCAGGCAGTGTCGACATTGCATGCCTCGCGCGCTGCAGCTCAGGCCCAGCCCCGTGCCACTAAGTTCCCGCCTTTGATTTCCGAATTTGCCTACACGGTGACGGTGCGTGCAGCGCAAGCCCCGCCCTT